GCGTTAATACAATATAATAATATTTTGTGAAAGTTCAATTTCTTTATGTAGAATTTTTGGTAAGCCTTCACGGAAGCGGTGCGGAGTAGCATGTCGAAGTTCTGCTTCACTTAAATGACTTGAAATACCATATATACTCGTGTGTAAGTCGACTCTTGATTTTTTAAATATGAATTTTATCCCCTACCGTCTCGGCTTATGGCCATATCACGTTGATACACCAGTCCCGTACAATCATCGAAGTTAAACAACGTTGAATCGGGTCAATAAAAAACTTCGTTAGAAACAAAGAAAAGAACTGTTGTGTAATATCAGTCCGCGTATGTGGCAATGAATGCTCGGCAATTTCCTTAACGATGAAGAAGAGACTTGAAGCAACAGAAATGTGGTTCTACAGAAGGATGCTGAAAATTTTTGAACAATGAGTAAGTTTTAGAAAAAGGAAACTTAAATTTAACATCAAGAAGAGAGTTGAAATTTGTAGGGCACATGAAAAAAGAGGGTTTGGAAAATCTGATACTCACATCACAGACTGAAGGCAAGAAGCACAGAGGAAAACAAAGTATAACCTACTTAAGGCTTATTAAAAGTTACGAAGGACAGGAAATTGTGGAGAGCCATGACCGCCGACATCCTGAAGTGACACGGCACATAAAAGAATAAGAATAAGCGACAGTAAATGGATGGCAAAACAGGGTTTAGGAGAGATGATTAAAAAATAAAATGTATTAAGAACTACAAAGGAGAGGAAAATGTGGAGAGCCATGCTTATCTACATCCTGAAGAGACACGGTAAATCAAAGAATAAGAAAAAGCGTCAGTAAATGAATGGCAGGTTAGGGTTTAGGAGAGATAACGAAAAGATACACTGTTATGAAGAGTGCTACAAAAGAGAGGAAATTGTGGAGAGCCATGTTCGCCAACACTCTGAAGGGACACGGCACACAGAAGAAGAACTGTCAGTAAATGGATTGTAGAATAAGGTTTAGGAGAGATGATTAAAAAACAACATTTATTAAGAGCTACAAAGGACAGGAAACTGTGGAGATCCATGATCACCAACGTCCTGAAGGGACACGGCGTGTAGAAGAAGAAGGAACTTGAGTAAATAGATGTAAAAATGGGGTTTAGGAGAGATGACTAAAAACAAAATTTATTAAGAGATACGAAGGAGAGGAAATTGTGGAGAACCATGACCACCTAAGACCTGAAGAGACGCGGCACATTAAAGAAGAACGAGTTTGAGTCTGACGGAGTTGGGCTTAGGAGAGATAAGCAAAGAAACAAGATTCACTAAAAGCTACAAAGGAGAGGAAGTTGTGGAGAGCCATGATCGCCAACGTACTGAACGGGCACGGCACATAGAAGAAAGAATGAGAGTCAGTCAATGGATGACGGAATGGGGTTTAGGAGAGATGAGCAAAACACAACATATATTAAGAGCTACAAAGGAGAGGAAATTGTGGAGAGCCATAATCGTCAACATCCTGTACGGACACGGCACATAGAAGAATAAAGAATGAGAGTCAGTTAATGGATGGTAGAATGAAGTTTAGATAACCAAAAGACTATATTAAGAGCTACAAAGGAGAGGAAATTGTGGAGACCATGATCGCCAACCTCCAGAACGGACACGGAACATAGAAGAAGCAAGAATGAGAGTCAGTTAATGGATGGCCGAATGGGATTTAGGAGAGATGACCAAAACACGACATATATTAAGAACTACAAAGGAGAGGAAATTATGGAGAGCCATGATCGCCTACATCCTGAAAGCACGCAGAATAGAAAGAAGGAGAAAGTGCTCGTTGGGGAAGCTGCTAAGGATTATGTTTGGAAATTTGCTTTTATTTATAGCTTTGTAGGTAAATCGTTCTTCGTAAATGATCGTCGTCATGTCATCCGTTGATTGAGTTACCAGGTCACTTGGGTTTCGGTGAAAGCATTTGAGCCGTTTACAAAAAGATCTTGAAATCTGAGCGGATTGATTTTCTTGCGATGTTCATGACACAGTGAATGTTCGTGTAAAAAAAATTTTTTCTATGATATCGGTTTAATAGAAAATAATGCAATTATTTTGCTTGCTTGTCCCTAAGACAAGACTGAGGAGGTCATGAGAAAAGAATGATTGGGGTTGTGTCGTGTATATTCCATACTTAACACTTCTCAGTTATACTTACATCATAAAGTTCATTTTCAAACATCGAAATGTCACCATTGGCGGGAAACGAAAACTTCTCCAAAATCATTGTTCTCGTCACTATCTCTCTCAAAAATCACAATTGCAAAGTATTTGCCTAAACTTAACATAAAATTCGCCACAACGTGTAAAACAATAAAAGACTTAATACAAATAAAAAAAAAAGCTAAAACCTGCAGGAAATAACTTACCTGTAATAATTGCCTCAATGAATACATTGGGGAAACCTCAAGGAATTTAAATAAATGATTATATGTGTCGGGTTATCTCCTCCTAATTTCCGTAACTGCTTCTAGGGGACGCTTTCTAAAACTATAATTTTTTTATCATTATCTTCTTACTTTTCCACTTATATGACAACATGTAAATCTGCCGCGGAAGATCGCGTTCTTCCTTTTTGGGAGAAACGCATGAACAATACACAAACACTTACATACGCACCTTTCACTTCATTTTTGTCTAGGATTTTCTCCTACACCAAACTACACACATGCAAACAATTCAATGTTTTCTTCATTCATGTTTATTGTTCAGTAACACGCAACAATATTCTATTGTTTATGTAAGTTTTTATTGAGAATTCACCATCATTTATTTGTACACATAAATATATTGATCCTTGTTTCTTTTATATTTTTTTAGGTGGACTCACACTCCGAGTCTGCCATGTTTGTTGTGTGCAGTTCAGGAGACACACGTGTTTATATCTCAACGCGTACACACGGCCCGCAACATATGAATATGAATATATATGGTGACTGTCGACTCACAATGCGACCATCATTGACATGTTCAGCCCTTCAGTTAAACTCCCCCACCTCCACAACGCACAAAGAAAATATGAAAATGGAGAAGAGGAAAAATAGATATGAACAGAATGAGAAAGAAAGAAAGAAAGAAAGGAAAGAAAGAAAGAAAAAAAGAAAGAAAAGAAAGGAAGAAAGGAAGGAAGGAAGAAAAGAAAGAAAGAAAGAAAGAAAGAAAGAAAGGAAGACAAGAAAGAAAGGAAGAAAAGAAAGAAAGGAAGAAAGAAATAGGCTGCTCATATCTATCATGTTAATTAGCAGGACAGACCGGGTTCTATAGCCTTGGATGGCAACTGGTCTATCGGGAAAAAAATCTGCCTCGTCAGTCATGTATCATTCATGGCACATAACTAAGTGAACATGCCAAATCTTTTTTTTCTAGGTCGAAGGTTCGAGCCGCTAAAGCGCTTTAAACACGTGTAGTCACGGCTTGAAGCTCGATATGCAATAAAGCTTTCGGTCAAGCGCGGACAAAAACGCCACAGAAACCTAGGAGATGGTCAAGATTGCTTAACAAAAGACGCCCATGCAGAGGTTTGAGGCCGTTCAGAAAGAGATTTCATCGTAGGAGACCAGACAAGTCTAGTCAGTGACACCAGCACCGGGACAATACTCTCTGCACACAAATCCACCCTGGTGACCAACTATTTGGCTGATCAAGACTACCCTTTATACTCCTTAGAGTCTAGACATAACCCCATGCGACTACTGGATGTTCTCAAAGCTGAACGAGACACTCAGGGGTATCAGCATTGAGGATCTGGACGGGATGAAGGCGGCTGTGACACCTTCACTTTGGAGGGCTACAGGTGGGCTTTCTAGAAGTGGGTCAACCGCTACAAGAAGTACTTGGAGGATCCTACTTTAGGGGAGACTAGTTTTTTTTTTTTGGCGGGGTGGGGGGGGTGAAGATCTCAGTTAAATAGATGTCTCTGATAAAAGTCTCAAAACCTCTTGATTGTACTTCGTATGTGCCATTAAATGCTGGACTCTCCTCATAGTTGAAAGGGCGATTGTCATAGTCATGCATGGTCCTAAACGACGAATATCGAGAATACAATTGACAGAATCAGTGGTTTGGCTTGATTTGTTTTGTTTTACGATGTATCAACCTCAATGGGTTATTTAATGCTGACAAAATTTTTACTTCTGGTAATATTTTTTTCCAAAAAATGCATAGCTGTTATTTCTAATATTTTTTTTTTTTAAGTATTGCCAGTAATCTTTTCCTTCAAAAATTTATTGTCGGTAATAATTTTTTACAAAGTATTTCTGGTATTAAAATCTATTTTTACACTTTCATAGTATTTTGACCCCAGTTTGAGGGTTAACTATTTACCCATAGCTGGGACCCTAACAGGTGCTACCATCCCCGGTTAGACTGGACCTGGGAACACCAGTAATTAAGAGGTAGTTCCATGCTCCTCAAAGCCTCCTGATCAGAGGCCTTGCTGCTCGATGTAGTTTATCATCTTACCCAGGACGCAACAGAATGAGGGAAAGGTAACCGTATCATCAAGGATGGTTGTATAAAGCAAGTGTCTGACGGAGCCCATCCCTCTTTAAAGATGTCTTGAATTCAGAATTGTCCCTATTCTTGGTGGCTGTACCAAGGCAACGATCCCAGGCTGATCTGGTATTTAACCCATAGCTAGGGGAAGAGATTCATACTTTTTACAAATGAAAAATGAATGACCTCGGTGGAAATTTGAATTATTCACGGCGATCTCATTTTTTTTAGGCACCAAAAATTGCGCCGCTACTTACAATCAGTAAAAACGGCTGAAACTACTGGAGACTTAATGAGGAAAGAGGGCCTGGGGAATTTAACACTCCCGGGGACATACTGGAGGCGAGAAAAGAAAGGACAATATTGCGAATAATCTAAGCGAGTTGGTGTGAATAAATGACGAAGATGAACAACAAAAAGCAGGAATTTGCGGAAACTATGAGCGGCCAAATGATGAAAGGAAATGCCACACGTAAGAATTATCTCATTTCCGAAGGAAAAAGAGTAAGTAAAAGAAAATGACAAAACAAGTGAAAAAAAAAAAATGGAAATCAGGTGCAGTCGAAAAGAGAGAGAAATTCGATCTCTTCTCTGTCAAGAGGACACAGGACATCGCACTTTTTAATACATTGTCAACAAAAGACAGTGAGAGAGTATCAAAGAGGGACGGGAAACGGAGCAGATAGACAAAGAGAGAAGGGTCTTGGGGGATACATAGAGAAAGAGAGGGGGAAATCTGTAGAGAGAGAGACAGACAGACAAAGAGAAGCGGGGATCTGCACAGACAGAGAGACAGACAGACAAAGAGAAGCGGGGATCTGTAGAGAGAGAGAGAGAGAGAGAGATACAGACAAAGAGAAGCGGGGATCTGTAGAGAGAGAGAGATACAGACAAAGAGAAGTGGGGATCTGTAGAGAAAGAGAGAGAGACAGACAGACAAAGAGAAGCGGAGATCTGTAGAGAGAGAGAGAGAGACAGACAGACAGAGAAGCGGAGATCTGTAGAGAGAGAGAGAGAGACAGACAGACAAAGAGAAGCGGGGATCTGTAGAGAGAGAGACAGACAAGGAGAAGCGGGGATCTGTAGAGAGAGAGACAGACAGACAGACAAACAGACAAAGAGAAGCGGATATCTGTAGAGACAGACAAAGAGAAGCGGGGATCTGTAGAGACAGACAAAGAGAAGCGGGGATCTGTAGAGACAGACAAAGAGAAGCGGGGATCTGTAGAGAGAGAGAGAGAGACAGACAAAGAGAAGCGGGGATCTGTAGAGAGAGAGACAGACAAAGAGAAGCGGGGATCTGTAGAGAGAGAGAGACAGACAGACAGACAAAGAGAAGCGGAGATCTGTAGAGAGAGAGAGAGAGACAAAGAGAAGCGGGGATCTGTAGAGAGAGAGAGACAGACAGACAAGGAGATTATTTGTATTTTTTTACTTTATTTTTTCCCTCAAGTACCTTCCGATGTTGCTACATTCATTTTCAAAGATTGTGTTTTGAGTATGTCCATATAACCGTTTTCGCTTAATTCCTATTTAGGTCAAGGATCTTCCCCACATATCCCCATAAACGGTGTCTCTTCTTCTGTAATGCTTTACCTCGAATGGCTCTTGGGCCTTGTACAGATAAAGTGATTGAGCTTTGAACAAATTCAGACCATCACAGCTAGGATCCGATGCAGAGTAGATTTATAGTTGCCATATTTATTACAAAGTTTCGGCCTTTCAGTATCTGTCTATATTTCTGAGATGAGGTATTATGTACACTATTTACATTATTCGGACTGTTGTCCTCATCTTTGTCGCCATATTTATTACAACGTTTCGGCCTTTCGGTATCTGTCTATATTTTCTGAGATGAGGTATTATGTACATTATTTACATTATTCGGACTGTTGTCCTCATCTTTGTTGCCATATTTATCACAACGTTTCGGCCTTCTTCAGGTGGTTGGAATTTCGAACCGAACCCTTTATTTCGCTCACTGGGGTAGACTGTTCTAGTTCCACGTGCCATGTTTAATGGATGTCAGTTATCAGTTATCTCCTGCTAATTTTTCTCTGAAAGTTCTCCACTGCCTTAACCGGGTATTGAACTCACACTCTTTGGGTCTTGTCACTGGATCTAACTAACGCCTTTATCCACTCTGTTCCATGTGTCCTGGGTATGAATTTCTGGGTATTATAAACCTAATGTCTTCAGCAACCATTTTTACCAGGGCTCATATTTCAATTTTGAAAATAAAGGGTTCAGTTCGAAATTCCGACCACCTAAAGAAGGCAGGAGCGTACAACGGCCGAAACGTTGTGATAAATATGGCGACAAAGATGAGGACAATAGTCCGAATAATGTAAATAATGAGATTTTTCTTGTTAAAAGGTTTAATATTTTTAACATATTGAACATTGTGGACGAAATTAAAAGTGCGCTTTTTCGAGATTTAACCTAAACAAAATAAATTCACAGATTTGGACAAAAAAACTGAATGGTACCCAGAAAATTTTGCTACATAATAACAAAAAAAAACAACAACAAAAAAAAAAAAAACAGAACACAATAAAAAGAAAACTTTTATCGTCAAAATCATTGTGTCATTAATCAAGATGTGATTTTTCATCCTTTTCAGAAACATGAAACATTGTTTAACTATGTCAACACACGACCTTACATTTGTTCGGGAAATCTGAAGGTTTTTTTTTTTTTAGGGAAAAACACATTTTGATTTGGAAATTCTTGCAAAAATTAGATAAATGTCGGAGTTTAATGAAACCGCCAAAAATTAGAAAACGAATGAAATTATTTAAAAAAAAAAAGTTTCTTTTTTAGAAACTCTTTGTAATTTAAAAAAAAATCTTTTGCCACACACTTATTTAATTTTTCTGAAATATCAAGAATTTTTTGTATTGTTTATATATATATATAAGTCCTTGATGTATTCACATTTTGGTAAAATAAAAATGTAAAAAATCATGAATCGTAAAAAAAGAAATGCAATAAAACGAAAACATTTTAAATATGAAATCATTTTAATTTCATTTATAAATAAATTATGGACATGTTTATCTTAAGGGAAAAATTGTCGATGTATAATAAATTTTAACAGGATTTGTTTTCTTTTTCTTTGAATTTTAACGGTAATAATTTATAAACTTTTACGTATTTTAAAATTCTGTATTAATTTGTAGCAGTCAAATGGTTATCAAATTAAAACTCTACGAATTTTAAATGGAAAATCTGACAATTCAACAACTTGTATTTAAAAAGAAATATGATTTATTTCAGTACGCTCGCGTGTGTATAAACGTGTTGATTTTTACAAATACGGACATCCATACATGAAATTATGAGGCAATTAGAGAGATACTTATAAATTTGAAATCCTTTCAAATTAGAATGGAGAATTTATGTTAAATTTCAAGAAAACACTTATTTTCAACTACTACTACAGAATAATAATAATAGTAATAATAATAATAATAATAATAATAAGTTAGTGCTCGCATTTATAGTTTTAAGATATTAATCATGCTACACATTTCCGTCAGACGCTGTCAGTCACAACCAACAATCATGTGCAGAGAGAGAGCAAGAAAAACAAGCACCTTGTTCTCAGTATAAGTCAATGCCGTCACGAGCACTATATTGACAAGGCTTTGCTTAAAAAGGTGGTATGTGAAGATGGTCGCCATATATATATATATATATTAGAATTTTGTTCTTTCGCACTCAGTGACCTCTCGTGTCTTAGTGGCTTTATTGCCTTGCTTGAGGGGAGGGTGACTGAAATGATTAACGAAATATATTTATGCGTATATCTGTGTTATGGGTGAATGGTGTACACACACACACATACTTTTGCGCAATTTGGGCACCTCGATGTGGTATAATGCTTAGAAAGCTTGTCTCGCTAGAACAATTTCGACTGAGAAGTGAACTCGATCCAAACTGGGCGCCCCATACTTTCGGCCTTGTGCCACATCTAAGCTACGCTTAGTAAATCTTTTATGGATCCTTCGATGTGTAATATTAGCAAGCTTGTCTCGCCAGATCAGTTTCGACTGAATAGCGAGTTCACTTTTCACTAGGAGCCCCATACTTTCGGCCTTGTGCCACAGAGAATTTAAATCCCCATAGGTTTACCGAGTTTAAAATGAGACATTGGAATAATATTTTTACCTCTACAACACAATCTGTAGAACAAAAAGATACTTAAGATTTCATTGTACTTTTCGGAAAATTATTCGCTAATAAACAGAATTATTATTATTTTTTAATTTTGTACATATAGTTTTAGATTTGTCATTGAATTAAAATACCTCTATCTATCTATCTATCTATCTATCTATCTCAGTTTGTTCATATCTATCAGTTAGATCATATCTATCTATATGTTCATATCTATCTATCTGTTCATATCTGTCTGTTTATATCTGTTTATATTAATCTATCTGTTCATATCTGTTTATATTAATCTATCTGTTCATATCTATCTATCTGTTTATATTAATCTATCTGTTCATATCTGTTTATATTAATCTATCTGTTCATATCTATCTATCTGTTTATATTAATCTATCTGTTCATATCTGTTTATATTAATCTATCTGTTCATATCTATCTATCTGTTTATATTAATCTATCTGTTTATATCTATCTCTTTCGATCTTTTCAAATCTCTCTATATATCTCAATATGTTCATATGTATCTAAATAAGTTCCTATCTATCTCAGTATGTACTTATCTAAGTGTTGTCTTTCCTGCATAGCCACAAGAACTTTACTTCTTAGCCTTTCTTGTGATCATACAACACCACACAATAACTCTCTACCTTGAGTGATCCTTGGGCCTTGTAAAAAGTGATCATGAGTAAAAAAAAAAAAAAAAATAGAAAAGTATTTTAAAAAGACAAACAATTTAGATTTAAAATTTGATCCTCCGACAATAACAGAAGCGAGGGTTACTGGCGTGGTTAATAAGAATTATTTAACAATAATGAAAGTGCAAAGAAAAAAAAATTTGAACCAATGTTTCTTAACCGGAGACCAAAAGTGGGGGGGTGGGGGATGTCGTGTAAATTCTAAGGTGAGGTGAGGGCATACAAATTTTGGAATTGGGCGTGGTATATTTCTACAATTCTATTTTAGTTCTTATAAACATAATTTTTGTAACTGAAATATATTTTTGAGCTTTATTTACAAAATTAATTATTGAATGATTCACGCGTGGTTAGCAACATTTTTTTGTTTTTTTGCATGACTTTATTTTATTTTCAATTTACAGATATTTTTAAAAATTTATATGTGCATTTATGTGCAGAAATTTTTATACGAGAATAAAAAAAAAAGTTTATTTTATTTAACTGGGTCGGTTTAAAAAAAACAAATGAAATTTTGAAGTTTATAGAAAGAAATATCCTCGTTCATTTGTTCTGGAATTTGTAAAATAAGCTTTTGTTAAATAAATGGCTAGGAGCAGGAGGAGGAGGCATAGGGGAGCATGGATAGGAAAAGGTTGAGAACCATTCATTTAAAGCTACAGAAACATCTTATAGAAAAAAAATATTCATAAAATTATGCAGTGCTGTTTTTACAATAAAAGGAACCTTAAAGGCTGTATTGATAGAAAAGATTTTCAACAGAAATTTTCTTCGTTAATTTTTGAACGAATCACCGAATTTCCTTTTTAAATTAAAAAATAAAGAAATATACCTGTAATCGTTTTTGCATATTTCACAAACGATTTAAACATTTTGATAAAAAGATTTGCTGATCAAACCAGGTCTCTCGAAATTGAAGGCGAAATGACCAGCCAATATACAGATAACAGGTGAGTAAGGTAAATAAACAGAAAACTTATTCACGACGGAGACTGATTAAAATTAATGCCATGTAAATGAGAAAACTATTCATTTTCTGAACAAATAAAGACATGAAAGAAAAAGAAAAATACTCACATCAGGATCCATTTTGTTGGCTTGAAATTAAAAAAAAAGAAGATAATTTGTAGATTTATTTTGAGAGATGAAGAGATTTCAACTCCAAATTAAAAACTTGTGTATCGTCAAGCAGAATAGGACGAGCTGGTTTCTATAAAAAGAAACCGAATCCGCAATGTTTTTTTAAAGAGAGAAATTATTTTTTTTTTTAAAATCTTCAACGTTATATTTGTCCGTAATGTTGTTTATGTAAAAGGTACGTTTCTTTACAGTCTGTTTATTTCTTTTCTTCAGGTGAGACAGTACTTAAAAAAGAAAACAATCGGCTCCACGCATTGAAATAGTCGAGATTTTATTTTTAAAACTCTACTTTAAAATCCTCATTTCTTTCTGTAGGCAAGAAAGTATAAGTTTGTTTTTTTTTATAAAGTATATATATTTCTTTTTTTTTTAATATACACTTATCAAATTATATTTGTAAGTTCTTCAAACTACTGTCTGCAAATTGTGATGAGTTCTTCACACCACAGGTCGAGCTGGAGTCCGACTAGCTTTTATTTTTTTGTAAGGTCGGGATCGACCTACCAACAGGTAGTAAAATGTTACGTCCAGGTGAAGCAGTGAAAAATTTTCCTCGACGCTGATTGCCTTACAACCCCTATCCTATAAAAATACTGCAAAATCTTTCCAAACTGATGTTATTATTTTGAGGAGAGCGGGGTGGGAAGTGAAGGTGCGAAGGTAGTTAAGGAGTGGAGGGGGAAGAAACAGGTAGCTCATAAATATTCATGACTTGCCGCCCACCTATAAAGTTCTGGTAAAAAAACATACCTAAATAAAAACTGCATTTTATTTTTTAGATTGAGAATTTATTTCAAAACTAAAACTAAAAATATTTTTATGAAAAAAAAACAATACAAAACAAATCGATCTCTTTTTCAAAATGGCTAACTTTATTTCAAGTACTTTAAACTTTGTAATATGCGAATGGTGCAATAGCTCTCCACGCGTAAAAGGAAAGTGCTGAGTTCAAATCCCAGTTGATTCGGCTGCGTTCACTTTACGCTAATGGCCTTGTAAAAGATGACGAATCCATCTCTTCCCCTCCAGCTATGGATAAAATAGCAGGGCTGAATGGCCTCTGTTGCCTTGAGGGGAAGGAGCAAGCAACCAACGTTTCTTATCCCATCATTCAGTCGGACTCTAATCCATTTGATCCCAAATTATATATATATATATATATATATATATATATATATATATATATATATATATATATAATTTACGCCGCGTTTCCATTCAAATTTGTATTCTCTGATTCAATAGAATTTCATTGATTTAATTCGTTTCACTATTTTTCTATTTTCTCTCTTCTTGACTTTCCTCTTCTTATGAATTTGGATAATTTTGAATATACTTATCTATTTCTCTTGCCTTTCTTTTTTCTCTTTTCTCTTTAGTAGGGTTAATTTCTTATTTTTTCTCTTCACCTTCTTTTTCTTTTTCTTTCCTCTTTCTTTTTTCTTTTATTGATTTCTTACCTTCTTTCCATTTTCTTTATAGAAATCCTTTTTACCTTTTATGGAAAATTTTCCGAAAACGGAAAATGAAATACTGTCTCATTAATTGTAATCATACTTATTATAAAACCCAGGTTTGTGTGTGTGTGTGTGTGTGTGTGTGTGTGTGTCTGTACGTTTATATATTGGATCGGATTTCCACATTTTTTCAACCGATTTCAACAAAACTTCACAGGACTACGTAAAATTACCTTGCGGTGGTTCTGACAGCGCCAAAAATTGGAAAAACAAAATTGATTTTTTAACGAAATCAATTTGAAAAAACGATTAAACATCGCGAGAATGAAAGAGGGACAACTCATATCGAGTTATACTTATTATAAAACCCAGGTTGTTTGTGTGTGTGTATGTTCGTTTATGTATGGGATCGGATTTCCTACATTTTTCAACCGATTTCAACAAAACTTTGGCAGGTAGTGTTTCTTATGGTCTTGCACACTTTTTTTTCTTTATTTTTACATTCATAATGCTTTAAAAATGGCATTTACAAAACAATTGTTTATAATAAAATTCTATTCAATCAATAGACTCCTAACGATTGAAAACAATGTTTTTGTTTGAGTTTGGGTTTGACCAATTCGTAAAAAACAAAAACAAAAAAAAACTAAAACATGCGTGTCCGTGAACCTTAAACAATAATCTTTGTCAATTTTATTTTTTATTATGGGCGATACTTGATCTATCTCTTACTGTTACATCCCCGGGCAACGCCGGGCTCTACTGCTAGTTTTGAATAAAATTGTTTTGTACCATCATTGTTAGCCACCTGAAGAAACGTTTGATTTTAACATTGAAAGAAAATATAAACTTTTTGTAGTGGACATTTTTTAATGTAATTAATATATATATATATATATATATATATATATATATATATATGTAGTGGATAATTACATGTTCTAATGTAACAGTGTATAATATATATATATATATATATATATATATGTGTGTGTGTGTGTGTGTGTCTATATATATATATATATATATATATATATATAATTTCATTGCATGGTGCCCCTTCTGTTTGCTCAGGGTTCTTGATAGGCTCCAGAGGCGGATATGCAATATAATTGGCCCTGCTCTGGCATCTCGTCTTCAGTCATATTTCTCACAGACGCCGTCGCCTCTCTCTGTCTGTTTACAAAGACTTTAGCAGCAATTGCTCCAGGACCTGCATTCACTGGTTCCCCAGACTTTTGAGTTCAAGCGCCCATTAAGGCTGGCATCCCTCTCACCCCTTCACTGTTGAAATTCCTAAATGTAGCCGTCTCTTCTACTTCAATAGCCTCATGTCTCGCACCTCTCACCTGTTGAATTCCCTTCCCTATTCCAGTTACCCAACTATTGAAATGTAATGTCAATCGACATCTCAGTTTCCTTGATCTATATGACTACCCTTCTTTTCATCCTTTCTTCTATCACTCCTATCTGATCTTGCCCCAAATTTTTCTGTAACCCCTTACGTCAATAGTGGCTTCCCGCCTTGCTTTTTGAAATTTTTCAAATACATACATACATACATATATATATATATATATATATATATATATATATATATATATATATATGTAGTGGAGTCGATACATGTTCTAATGTAACAGTGTATAATATATATATATATGTATGTGTGTGTCTATATATATATATATATATATATATATATATATATATATATATATATAGTTAGTTAGTTTATGAAAACTAGGTAATCCGTATTTTAAACCTAAGGAGGATAAAATCCAGAGAGCTCAATGTATGAAAAACTAAGTAATTGTTTGGAAGTAAAGTCTGATGAGATCCGCTGTCCTTTTTAAAAAGGGCTGTGGTGAAATAATTTATTATATGGAACCTTAAAGTGGTCTGTTTTTATTTAATATATATATATATATATATATATATACTAATAGCAATACTCGTTTGGAAAAAAAAACTTGCATAGTTCAGCTTGTAGATATGTCATGTTAGATTGGTTGACCTTTTAGATCTTGCTCTCGCAAGACAAGCAGATTGAAAATTGCTGAGTCCACTAAAACATGTTGATCTCCATTCTACCCGCTCCAAAGCTAAGCGCTCAAAGGGTGTTATGTGGTATATTGACTGCTGACAAGTTGCTTTTCAGCTTGTAAAATATCTTAGCCATGGGCGTCCTACATTCCTGTAGCCCTGATCTAACTGGCTGTACATTAGGATCTTGGGTATCCTGTCATCAGACATTCTCAAGACATGACCAGTCCACCGTAATTAACTGAGACTGTATATATAAAAGTCTGATTCCTCCAATATTACACCTGTTAAACAGGTCTACGTTATGATGTCCTATCTTGAAGGTTAACTCCACAGATTAAAACGCAGACAGCTTTTATGGAAAACATTATAGCTGGTTATATGGTACCTGTATAGAGTCCATAACTCTGAACCATACAAAAGGATGGCAAGTACAACAGCTCTGTAAACCCGAATTTTCGTATCCAGTTGAATAGCCCGCTCATTCCACAAGCGATGGCGAAGTTTGCCGAAAGCACTGGTGGCCCGAGCAATCCGATGCATGATTTCATAATCTAAAGTTCCACTGTAATTGATTTTGCTACCAAGATAGGTTGAAAGACTTTACATAGTTCAGGGCTTTGTCTTCTATATCATCTCAATGGTCTCTCTGGAAATTTGTAGACAAATGGTTTTTGTTTCTCAAAACAGCAATTGCTTCGGATAGGACAAGGTTGGTGCAAAACTTCAGTTTTTTTTATGCTAAGTGTAAGACCAAAGGCTTTACATGCAGCAGAAAACGATTTGTTTATATATATATATATATATATATATTTATATATATATATATATATATATATATATATATATATATATATAATATAATAAATAGATATATAAATACATAAAATTAATACTGCGTATCATGCGAATTTTGAAGATAATTTCAGAATTAATTTTAAGGGGGTCAAATTTCAATAGATATAATATATATAAATATGTACAATTTATCCCTAGTTATGTTGTTGACCAAAAAAGATCCACCCAAAATTGTCATCAAAAGTACAGCCAAACATGATTTTGTTAAAACTGATGTTTTTACTTGAATCCAACAATGAAGTACCTCCACTGAATTTTCGATATCTAAGGTTGAAATTGATTTTTAAAAATAAAGATATATTCTTATTATTTAAATATTTTAGTTTTATTTGAAACTAAATGATTGATTTTATATTTGAGTGTCAGGTAAAATATTCTGGTGTATTTTATGAAAAAAAAAATTATATAGATTGAATCTCAATTTTTTAAAAAAAAATTTTTAAATAAAAAATACCATTTTCTTAATTTTAAGAAATTTGTAAAGTTATTGGTTTTAAAAATTTTCCAAAAATTAAATATATATTTTTGACATTATTTGAGTAAAATTAGCAAATTTTAAGTTAAATTATTCTGATTTGAAACATTACGTACTTATAGCATAAAAAAGTAATATACAAGCATTCCTTAACGAGTTTTCTTTGTTGATCTTTATTGACGTATTGATATGTTACGAGGCGATGACAGCTAGTATGGATGAACATAATTGACATAAATTTACGAAATCCAAGTGAACTCATTTTTGTTTTGTTTTTTTTTTTTTTTTCTTTTTTTGTTATTGTTTTTTTTTCTTTGCTGGGGGTGAAGCTACGTAGTAATTAACATATTTTCAGCAATTATTTATTATGATATTGATTTTTGTTAGGTTTTAACACTATGATGGCCAGTTCTTTTGACATCTTTATTTACATTATTTTTTGAAACAAGCCATCTCTAATATATTCAATATTCAAGTCAAGAATAACAAGTCTGAAACGAAAAAACAAATATTAGTATATTTTAAAATAAGAAAAGAACGTGATTATATATATATATATATATATATATATATATATATATATATATATATACATATGTATGTAAATATATATATATATATATATATATATATATATATATATATATATGTGTGTATGTGTGTTGTGTGTGTGTGTATCAAATGGATGTGTATAGATAGATAGATAAATAGATAGATGGGGACAAATTATTTTTCTTTTATTATTTCTTTGAGAAATTTTTCAATGCATTTCTCCCAATAAATAGCCTAGGTGTCAAAAACGACACTTAATATTTTAAAATAAAAACCTATAAAATATCACCTATTCCACTGAATTTTTTTAA